CACACACACACACACACACACACACACATCCCGCTAAGCCCAAAAACCACACCATGGACACCATGTCACTATAACTTACAATCGTCCGTGTCAGGGGCAACAGCTATAATGCCCATGGGCTGGCGGTTGATGTTCTTCTTCTTCCACACCACCGTGCCGTCATACTTGTTGGCTCTGATCACAGCACGTAGGACCCAGTCAGTCCAGTAGAGGGAGTCGGCGTACACGGCCAGGCCAAACGAGTGCTGGGGGATCGTGGTCACTATGATCTGAGGGGAGAGAGGGGAGGGGAGGAAAGGGGAGGAAAAGGGAGGGGGAGAGGGGAGTGGGAGAGGGGAGGGAGAGGGAGGATCAAGGGGGGTGGGGTAGGTAGGAGCAAGGTGAATTAAATGAGTACAAATTCCGCAGAAAGTAGTTTGTTGCAGGTAGACTTAAGTAAACAAAATCATGTAACATACACAAGTTAACATAATTGTCATCACAATGCTACAAATGTTTTGAGAGGGGGTCCAGTCCTGATTACTAAACCAAGAGTTAGGTGAGCTCTCTCTCTCTCTCTCTCTCTCTCTCTCCTCTCTCTCTCTCTCTCTCTCTCTCTCTCTCTCTCTCTCTCTCTCGCACACACACACACAACAAATGAAAGAGAAGGAGCTCTCGTACAATGCCAGCCTCCCTCTTCCCTTTCTCAATTTCTCCCATTACTAAATTAATATTCTTTTATCAAACCCTTTAATAAAGTCCATCTTCAACAAAAACAACAAAATAATGATTGGACCCAGACATCACAGTCTCACCATAACTAGTGAGTTGAACCGCCAGTCCGTCCAGTAGACATAATGCTCAAACACTGTCACCGAGAACGGGTGGTTCAGGTTGCGGTGTGACTTGAGGATTAGGTGGTGGTCCTCGCCCTCATATGTGATGCTGTGGATCGAGTCTAGCCTGGGAATGGCAAAGAGAGGAAAACACGGTTATTTAATTTCCACACCAGGACTTTGGCTTTGCCCTCTCCTATGGATATTTTCAATGCACTTTGAATCAAGAACAATTACACAAGCCAAGAAGTCCTCAAATACAATGACCCAGGTATAGAAACTATAGACTATTACCTGGCATCTACCCAATACAGCCTCTTTGACTCAAAGTCAACCGCCAGTCCATTGGGCCAGCCAGCCCCCTTGTGTTCTCGGATGTCATAGATTATTTTCCGAGTGTGAGCCTCACCAGCCATAGAGCAAGATTCAATTCTTGGGAAAGCCCCATCCCAGTCTGTCCAAAACAGTTTGCTGCGGGAGAAGAAAAGGAAAAAACAATGATATTACTTACTAGTGTCACTGTCTCCAACAATTCTAACTGTACTTGCTGCCCGGGTGTTTCCCCAGCAACAAAACGACATCAATTTAAATCAACAAAAAGGGAAACAAAAATACTTCATTCTAAAACACTGCGAGGAGGACATTTTCTCAATTTTCACACTTTTCACTGCTGGTTGACACAGACTGCAAAAATTTCCTTCCTGCAAAAATTGCAAATTTGTCAGCTGCTCTTACAATAAATGCAACTAGCGTTGGGAGTCAAATAGGTACATTAATACTGTCACTGTGCTCACCCAACTACACTGACACATAACTGTAAAAGACAGTAATATTTTTACATGAGTCATTTTTTCCATATAAATGACCATACTGCGATATTTCTTTGTCCAGGCTTCAAAAATATCTCCTGCAATTTAGGAAAATGCTTTTTTCTGTGAAAAAACCCTCATATTATTTATAGTATTTTCAACTGTCATAATAAGATATCAAGTGGGAGGGCCAACAAGTATTGGCAAAAAACTTCCTCAACTTTTCATATGACATTCAAAAGGAAAATACCAATAGCTGAGGTCCTTCCCCCCTCCCCCCGCCCACCTCCAATTCCACTATTTTAAGATGACCACTTTTCTCTTCAACAATGGGCAGTCATCTTTGACAGGTTCAACTTACTATACTTTACCAAACATCACATCCAAAACAAAAACCAATCAATCAAAAACTACACAAAACAACACAAGTCAGTCAGAGTTCCTCCTGTGCCCACTACACCCATCACTGACCCGACACTAGGGTCCAGAACGATGGCCCGAGGACTGGTCATGTTGCTGGCCACAAGCGTGGCCCGGTTGGTCCCGTCCAGCTTGGCCACCTCTATCTGGTCCAGGTTACTCTCCACCCAGTAGATGTTGTCGGCCACCCAGTCCACGGCCACACCCTCTGTGGTGGCCAGGCCAAACTCAATGACAGGCTCCATGTTGATCACAGCTGTGGGGCACAGATGGAGAGGGGGGATGAGGCGGGGGGAGATGGCACAGGGGGGGGTGTATATGTGTGTGTGTGTAGTGTGTGTGTATGGTTTTTAGTGGCGAACGGGGTGGGGTGGGGTAGTGGGGCTTACTTGGGGGTGGGGTAGTGGGGGGATTGAGCAGAGATTGGGAGGGTGACCGGGAGGGTGGGTTTGATACATCTTGCATCTACAAAACCATTCCATGTAAAGGATATACAATGCCCTGTGGACAAGTTCAATCGGTAATCTTTAACCTAAGGTCAGGGTATATCCCACTAAATTTCTATCTGATTCGTGCTTAACCACAACATTCTGCTTCTACCGTACAATACAACTTCCATCATGAAACAGTCTACCATTATGTTCTCCACTTTGGAGATCTCACAGACCAGGCAGCTTTCTGTTATCACCTTAAACAACTCACTCTTTAAACAGAACAAAGAAAAAAGATAAAAAGAAGCCCACATTTTGAACAAATATTTTCCCAACTTCACCACCAATACCTGCTTGAATTTTAGATATGTCTGAATTTTGAACACACATTTTCCAGATTTTGTCCACAAATATCTTTATAAACTGAAAAGTATCATCTGCTCAATCTATAACATGCATTTCCACACAAACATTTTTCTGATTCTCCTTCCACAGAGGCCCAAACTTGGACAGGAGAAGCACCACTTACTGTTGCTGCTGATGGTGCCGCGGTAAATCTTGTCGTCAATGACATCCGTCCAGAAGAGAAGCGACTTGTTATAGTGAAAGTCGAGAGCAATGGTGTTCCTGAGGCCAGACACCAGGGAGGTCACCGACTTGTCCTGTACGTTCAGACGTCGGATTTCATGCCGGTTGGAGAAGATGATGAACACTGGATTACCATCTGAGGAGAAAATGATGTCATAATGGTCAGTAACAACATAGCTGGTGACAGAGACATGATGTCACAGTGGTCTATGACACACACATGAACAGTACACTCAAACACTCAAACACTCACACACATACACACACACACACACACACACACACACATACATACAGTGTACACAAACATACACACATAGCAGTGCACTCACACATACACACATACATACAAACACACACATACACACTCACACTCACTACACTCACACAAACACACTCACTCATGACTTACCATCTGGCTTACAGCTGTACTTGTCTTCTTGCAATGTGTAGCCCTTGTGACAGGAACAGTAATGCTCACGCTGAAGGAAGGTGCACTCCTGGCTACAGATGTCCCACTTTTCACAGATGTCCACCGCTGAGTGAGATTGGAGGGGGGCATGCAGAACAACAGAGTGAGAGTAGCAACTAATGAAGCCTACTGAAATAGCTTCATTATGATATAGGCCATTTACCCTGTCATTTTCCTTTAATTTCTTTGCTATGGATTTTTTTGCTTTCTTTTTTTTTTGGGGGGGGGTGTCTGGT